TTTTGCAGACCTAAAAGCGGCTGATTGTCACGATGAACAGCCATAAATCCATTCAAAAATATCATCTAAAAAACCCAGCCAAAACCAGGGCTCAGCACCACCGAACAGAGAAGGTAAAAGGTGTTCTGTTCCCCTCCTTGCGTTATCAGCCAACAGCTGGAAGGGTCCCCGTTTGGCCCCTTAGGAGGCTGAGCACCGTCTCCCAGCACCTCCCCAAGAAGCCCGGAGCCCGGAGGCAGAAGAGCAGAAGAGGCCAGAGGTCCATCGCGGCCTCCCCGGCTGGCTCTGAGCAGCCCAGCCACCGCCGCCGCGGCGACAGCGCTCCGTCCATCGTCCTCCTTCCGGAGCGGGGCCTCTCTCCCCACCCATCCCTCCGTTTCCTCCTTGGGTTTTCCTGAGGAAGCCAACTGGGAGGGCGGAGGAATGTGGAGGGAAGGACAGGCAAAGGCCCCCATCCACACACACACACACACACACACACACACACACCCACACACACAAACCACCATTTTGTAATTATTGTTAAAATGTCCACTCCTTGTCTCCTAAGGGCATGCAACCTATGGCATCATGTACACTAGGAGCTTAGGATTTGGCCCTGAAATCTCTGGGAGTGAGACATTACTAATCTAGAATGCTTTTTCTAAAAAGGTTAAGTCTCAGAAACTGGATTCTGACATTTAAACAAAACGGTTAGACTTCTGCTCAGGCAGAGCCCGCTTGGTGGAGGGTCCGACCCCTCTCCTCCTCCGCCTCCAGCCGGAAGCCTCAAACCCCCCCCCCGAAATACGGGTTCCCTGAAATACCAGGATACCCTGGGAGAGAACAAAGAGGAAGAGGAAGAGAGAGAGGAAGAGGGTGTGTGAGAGAGAGGGTCACTAAGGCAGCCTTTCCTTTATCTCCCTTTTCCAAACGGGAACCCACCGCTCCTGCGCAAGACAAGATTTTGCACCTTCTGGCCAAGCGGGATTTCGAGGGGGAAGGCAGGCGTTGAGAAGCGAGGGCCCCCCACCGTGGGCGCCCCTGGGAGGCAAGTCGCGAGAGCTCCTGACCGTCTCCGGCCAAAGGGCCAGGCAGTGTCCCCCACCCGGGGGGGGTAGGGGGGCATCTCCCTGGTGGGAATTGGCGCTCAGTCCGCCTCCAGGACCCTGAGCGAGCCCTTAAGGCCGCTTCTCCACCCCACCGAGGCCGGCCGGGAGCCTGGCTTCGCTTTTCAGGGAAGGCTCCTGGCCGGGGGGGGGAACCCTCGTGTCCCTCAGGAGACTCACCAACCTGCGGGTATTTCGGGAGGGAGGGGAGAATCTTTTCTTTAACTTCTGCCTTTGCTTAAAAAACAAAACAAAAAGACTTTAAAAGCCAAAACCAGCAGGCAAGGAACTCCTCAATACAGATTCCCAGAAAACGGGCCACCGTCCTCCAGCTGAGCACTGGTTTTACTTCAGGGGTGAAGCCAAGAAACGTGAGACCTTCCATCATCACCAGGGGCGCTGACCCCGCTTTTATTGCATGAGCTTTACTACACTTCATACATCATCATCTTTTTGTCCCAGACAGGAGGGCCTTTTGGCCCAACCAGGAGAGGAGAAAGAGAAGTCCATGCAGAGGCGACTGAGCGAACGCACACTTTCCCCCACGATCCTCCCCCCACCCCCCTGAAGGCATCGGATCTGGCCCGATTTCCGTACCTAAGCAGGGCAAGGTCTGTTCAGGCCACCGGTCGGGGTGTGTGTGTGTGTGTGGGGGGGAAGAGCGCAGATCTCCAGGTGGGTCCGAAGACCTCAGAGGGAGGGAGCCGCCCGTCCAGGTCAGCAACGCTAGGCGACCAGGGCAGCCGGGAGGGTCTGACTCTGAATAAAACCGCTTTCCACACTCCTAAATGTGGCCGTACCCCAACCCTCAAGTCCTTCCCCTGCCAGGTTTCTGGTGAAACAAAGGTTTCACTGCATCTCCTGTCCTTTTTGACACCTCTTTTTAAAAGAGACCGACTGCTTTGATGCAAAAAGTTAGATGTTTTTTTGCCTGAATAGGTGCTGGCAGTCTCAATGGGTGTGGGCCGTAGAAAAATATATTTTTATCATAAAATTCCCCAAATCTGACATTTAAAAAATGTGCTTCAGAGGGCACTCTTTTGTTGCGGGTGAGGCCAACCGCAGGCAGAGAAGCCCCTCCAAGTCCACCTTATTTTCACGGCTCTTCGCCCGTCCACTCCGTTACCTGAACGGAGAGCCTTTGAAACCAGGTTTCTGTCTTTGGTACGTCAAGAGCAGGAAAGACTCTGGAAAGAGAGCTTCCAAGGGAAAACGGGGGGGGGGAAGCAGGGCGGCTCCCCGCTCTGTTTGCTCCTCAAGGAGAAAGGCTTCTTTTCCGACGTGGCAGAAAGTGTGTGTGGGGGTGTCTGCCGATCCAGGAGAGCCCCCTCAGCAAGCATTAAGGCAGGGAGCCCCGAGGGAGGGGCCTCTCCCTCCCTCCCTGCCTCTCCTTCCTTCCTTGGGACTTGGGAGCGTGCGAGGGTGACGCACGCCGTCGGCTCTCCTGTCCCCCCACAACCCTCCTCCCTCTGTTCCTCAGCCTGCCAGAAGCAGCCATAGGTCAGGCGGTCGCCTCCGGGAGCCCCCCCTGCCCCCCCCGTCACCAGAGAGGTCCCAGGCCCAGCCAGCTCAGGGGGAGGGCAGGGTCCCCCTTGGGGGGCTGGAGCTGCAGGAGGGTCTCCCCTCTTCCTCTTCGAGACCCACGTCTTCGGGGTCCACAATCTCCCACGCCCCAGCAGAGCCACTGTCCGTGGGGCTGCTCTTACTGCTTCTGCGGTACCACTGGCTGAAGCTGGAAAGGGGAGACAAAGAGAGACAGGAGGCCGCCGCCGTGGGGCAGAGAGCACGGGCGTCTGAAGCCAGATGCCTAAGCAGAAGATGGGCCCTGATCTGGGCTGGGGGGGTTGGTGGGGAGGGCTGATGGGGTTGTTTGGACTGTCTTGAATCCATAGATATACATATGGTTCCTTCTAGCTTCTGAATCTAGATTTTTTTAAAAAGTTGCTTTGTTCCAGGAGCGGCCCAAGGGCCTCCTCACTCAAGACAGCCGAGGGTCGGAACCGGGCCCCGAGAGACCTTCCGCTCCTGCCCTCCGCCCGGGCCCTGCGCTGGGCTCTGCTGATTAAACCGGAGCCCAGGTCTCGGCATGAAACCGGTTCCTCCCTGAACTGCAGGCCAACAAGGGCCTCCTCCCGACCGCCTTCTCTCTGGCGGGGCGCCCTTCTCCCCCTCTCGGCTTAATCTGCAGAAAGGGGCTCCTTCTCTGCCCCCCCTCCCCTTGTGCTCCTCTCACGCAAACCACCCCAAGCACCCGCTGTGGCCCCCCTGGGGGGGGGGGAGAGACTTACAAGCTCTTGATCCTGGACTCCGGCAAGCGGCTGTCTGGGCAGACGGTGGCCCCGAGGGGGGCTGCCAGCCACGCGCCTTCCTCCTCCTCTTCCTCGCTGGGGCAAACAAGAGAAACCGCCCTTAGAGGTTGCTGGGGCATCTCAGCAAAGGGGGAGGGTGCCCGGCTCGGCCAGGGACCGAAATCAGCAGCTGTGTTGGGAGTTGGGGGGCGGCCAGTGAGGGCCCCAGCCTTTTTCCAGGGGGGGGGAAGACGGGGAAGTGTTCCTTTATCAGCCGAGATGACCCCCCCCACCTCTGGCACTAGGGGCGCACGTAAACGGAAAAACGCCTGGATGTCCGGAGGGCTCTTCGTTTCAGCCCCCACGCCTCCTGGGTCTCCGGTGGTCAGTTTTGCCCCACGGCATTCCCGAGAGAGGAATCAACGGCCACACATTTTGCGCTGCAGCTGACAGGCGCCTTTCGGGGAGCCAGAATGCGTCCGAGGGGAGGAGGGCAGGAGCGAAGTGGGGGGGCGGGAATGTGGCCGAAGGGAGGGGGGCTCTTCACCTCCTGAGGTGCGTATGGATGGGGGGGAGTCTCCCATCCCTTGGAGGGAGGCCAGGATGAAAGGGCCACCAGCCTCCTTTAAAACAAACAAACAAAAAACAAACACCTCCCCCCCTTCTTGGCTTCTGCCTCGGCAACTGACAAGCCCGCGAGCAGGAGAGTTGCGGGGGGGGGGAGAGCGGGTGAGGGTCTTGGGGAGCGCCAACCCCTCACCCTTTCTGGCCTCCCGGCCACCGTGGGCGGCTTGGCCAAAGACCCTCGGGGCATCCCCCAGAGAGAACGGCCGCAGGAGACCCACCTGCTCACCGGCTCCTCGGCGGTCCCCAGCATCTTGGCCCGGATCTTCTTCCGCTGCTTCTTGATGGTGGACCTCACGGCGTCCAGCAGGATCCCAGGGATCCGTTCGTCGTTCAGCAGTTCCCTGCGGAGAAAGCCAGAGAGAAGCCATGGCGTCGGGGGGGGGCTGGAAAGGAGGAGATTTTTGCCTCACAGCCCCTGCCAAGGTGCCTTGTGAAGGCCCCCGGCCCCCACGGGGGGGGGCTCCCTGGGTTCCATCACACCCCCTCTCTCGACCCCCCCTCCCTCTCTCCCACCCACCCCGAGGACTGACCGCTGGTAGTAGGCCAGCTCCTCCTGGACCAGGAAGAGGCTGGTCTTCAGCTCATTGCGCTCCGTGAGAATCTGCCGCAGCTCTTCCTGGGGGAAGGGGCTCCCTTCGTGGGCCCGGCTGGGGGGGCTCTCGCTAGATCCCGAGGCCCCTTCCACCTGGTCGTGGGAAAAACCCAAAAGGCAGGTCTTAATAAACACAGGACAGCTGTATGGTTTTTTTTTTTTTGGT